GCTATTTTCGGGTTGTCTATTCTCCGCCTTGCCAAATGCTTATTACTAACTTCATGAGATGTTCATTCCAAGCCTCTCACTATCGTTAAGTTTAACCGTAAGACTCGTCTATCCGAGGCCACTTGTAAGACTCCGATAGTTCGAGACCTAGATGTCTATTCCTCGCCTCGCCAGATGCTTATTCCTAGCTTCACGGGACGTCCATTTCCCGCCTTACCAGATGTTTATTTTTGGCTTTGCGAGATGATTATCTCTGGCCCTTCACTATCGTCTAGCCCAGCTTTAAGACCTCGTCTTTGAGGCTTGCTTTAAGTCTCCAATAGTTGATATTTGTTTCCCATTTTGTGAGATGCCTCACCATATGAGTTATTGTATCATAGCCACATTTATCTTCAAAAAGCTCATCATGCCTCTACATTACAACTACCTATCTTTCAAAGTTTTGCTTCTACTTCAAATATGTCACATATACTTATTTTCAGAGAGTTTACATATCCCCTGCACGGATGAACCATCCACCATGCAAAGATGTCATTTACTGTTTCGTAAGAAAAGGGTGGGCCCACCTTATTACCTGCAAAGACAAAGCCTTTCATTGCTGGATCAAATACCATGGAGAAAGACCTTGTACAGAAGCATAAACCCCTTGCAAGGAGATCAAAAATAAAAATAACAAAATAACAAAAAAAGGAGCTCCGATAAGGACAAGTGTGATGCCTTCCATGAGTGTCATGCCTTATTACCTTAGAAGTTAATTCCCTGCATGGATGAACCATCCATCATGCAGGAAGCCCTAGACATGGATGTGCCACCCCATGTAAGGACGTCAACTTATCACACTTAAATACATTCAGAGCATCGTTTCCTCTTCAGTTTGTCACAACTGCTTATATATTCAGTCTTGTCTTAGCATCAGCTTTATCACAGTAGCTTATATTTCAAGTCCGACACTCATATAAATATTCGACTCAAACTTGGAGGACTATTGATACTAATATCCTGAGCATTATGATTACTGTTAACATATTACTGTGATACTAATATCCTGGTAGCATTTGATTACTGTTAGCATATGCATTATATTATTGTTGTCAAGTACGCATTTCACATCATTGCTAACATGCCTCATGACCCATGACACTATTTTTACTAGCGCTAGTATGCACGTTACTTATCTATACTATCGTCAAGCATGCGACACCGATGATATATGATAGGCTTTCTGCATATTGTGTTTTGGAGAAATGTGATATGTCATTATTCACTTTATAATTATTAGTATTTTGAAGGGCAGATAGACCCCAAAATTTATTTTATATATGTGCGGTGAAGATATTATATTGTATTGCAAGTTGGTTTAGTCTATAGTGCAGAGAAGATGCTATCGAAATTTTGAAAATTATATGCGACATCTTTTGAGGCAATTGGTAAGCCCTCACTTATCCAGGCTAGCACGTATATATTCTAAGGCAGTTCATGAGTCCTCACATATTGGAGCTACTCATATTTTTTGAGGCAATTCGGAGGACCTCATCTACTTGAGTACTTATATTTCGAAGTCTGACTGGTACATGAATGAATGACTCAGACTTGGGGGACTATTGTTATATCCATAAATCATTTCATATTGGGTTTTTCTATTGGATGTGGCTTGGACGAGGCCCATTAGCTTACCAAGCCCAACAAGCCCGTCTCCATTTTCTATATATATGGATTCATTCGCACATAAGGTTTGTTTCTAAACGCTAGCCAAAATTCCCTCTCCCTCTCTTGCACTTATTGTTCTCTCTTCCGACAGTTGACTTGATCGTCGGAGTGCAAACAGTTACGGGACCTTTTTTCTCGACCGATGGTCATTGCCTCTTAATAGGGCGCTGAGTGTGCAAGTGATGTCTACGTAAAAGAGATGAGTTTAGAATTCCGTTGACACATTTTTTGAGGTCAACAACAACCTTCCATCCCTTCATTTTATATTCATTTTTTTCTTTAACCCCAATAATATTAATTCTTTCATTTTTTTGCCTACAAAGTAGACAAGGAAGAAAGATAATAAACTTTATAACAAGAAAACAAGTTCATCTTTAAATTGTCAACTATCATTTTTTTTGTCTTTCTCCTATAATTTTGAATCAATTATTCAAAATTATAAAGTTTTGTTAAATCAACTTGGGCCGTTCCCGTTACATTTCAAGGTTTCTCTATAAAAATAACTAGTGAAAATAGAAAAAATTGAATTTTATTTGTTATCTAAACATGGCTGCACCCTTTCGTGTTTGTCGATGGGCAATGTCGGGGGATTTTTAAGGTACTAGTTGCATCTACTACTGTCTGTTTCAAATTTAAGTTCCATTATCCCATTATTTCTTCAAGCACACGTTTGGTAAACAGTAGTACACAGTATAATGGACAAAATTTTAGTTCGTTTTTCATTTTTATTACTGCCCAACTACTATTCATTCCTTGCAAACGAAGATGTATAAATGTAGGTTGTTCTTTTGATATGCTAGTAAAGAAAAATAATGTAATTTTTTTTTAATAATCTTATTGGTTTTCTTAATTAAAAATATATGTTGATTTTCTTTGAATTTTATTTAACTGCTGATCTAATTTCAAAGGTTAATTTTTAAATAAAATATGATTGAAAAATGAAGTCTTGAAATGTAACTTTGGTAAATATTTTATAACTGGAAAAGAAAAGTTACAGAATTTGAAAACTCATAAAAGCAATTTCACATTTAATTGAATGTTGAGACACTTCAGAGCTTATATGGAAAAATGTCTATTGATATTATTTCTTTGATATATTTCTTTGATGAAATGCACAGAATTGTATTTCCTTATTGCACTGGTCTTTATTTAGGTTATATGAAATGTTTGAAAGTGACATGTACATATTAAGGTAACATGTATATAGTTTGATAGTTTAGAGTTTCACCTTAGGGTTTAAACATGCACAACTGACCTTTGTTGCAAGTACCCAACTTTAGTGAAAGCATGTAGACTCCGTGTGACTAAATCTAATAATGGGATGAGTTGTATTATATTAAGGCTACATGAACAGGGCCACTAACAGATTTTTACTTCCAAGGGGTACGTGTCAAATTATCATTGGACAATTATAAAAAAAAAAGAACCAGACAAGTGCTGACGACAGAGTACTTGTCAACTTCCATGTCTAAGTAGCATTACACTATTATAATTTCAGCAATATTGCTACATGTAGACCTCCCTTTACACTCTGACTTACCAAATTTACACTTGCACACCACCTTTCACATTTCACATATTTAATCCAATCATTATGAAAACTGCCACATCATTTATTTATCAACCACATAGTAAAGGGAGATGTACAAACAACTTTATCCTATTTTGAGCATGTGTATAAAGTGCCTTAGAAGAATACAAAATAAGTTTGCTATTATAGACGATACTATATTTTATGATGATCAAGAAATTAACCTGAAATTAGAGAATAATGAAGAAGGCTCAAGAGTTGGACGTAAATTCAAGAAACCCAATGATGAATGGATGTGAACCTTCATTAAATTTTTCAGAATTTGGGTTATGTTGCAGATCTCGGCATTTGTGTCCCTTAATCGGCAAAATCAAAATGCTTGCTGCCTAGCTTTCAGATTCGGCTCTCCCAACCTGCCAACAATCATACATAAAACTCATAATTCTCTTTATTGTTTGAATAATTTCAACAGGTACTGCAATGGTACTGCTTAACAAAAAATATATTTAACACAAATTAACAAAATAAATCAAGCAATATACATGCCAAAAAGAGTACAATAATCTGCAATACGTGCGTGCATTTCTTTATTAGTTTAGATAAATAATTGTTATCTAGTTTAGCCATTTTTAAGAGAGTAATACTATTTGTAGTTGCTCACTGGAGTAGTCGTCCTACGTAGCATACACATGGCAAATGATTATTTGATACATTAATGTAGTAGTTTTTTTATTCATTAATGCATCAAATAACCATCTGCCATGTGTATGTCACGTAGGGTGACTGTCGCAGTGAGCGACAACAAATAGCATTATTCTTTTTAAGAAGATTTTATATTTATACATAGTAGCTTCTTTATTATCATTCAGTACGATTTCATCTTTTTAACTATATTGTACCCTTTTTCTCAGGTTTAGTTGCTCAATTATATTTAACTGGTATTAAATTATATTAATTAGGTTTTTTTTAAATGAAAAATAAAAAAATATCTGGGGCTTTGTCTTAATGGAATCAATTGTCTTGCTTGCAGTCATGAATATTATATTGTGCTATTTTTATTTTTCAATTCTGATGCTGAATTCATCTAGATACAATCAAACTACTTAGTGGGATTTAATTAATTAGCATAATGTAAGTTTGGTTTTCATTAATTATAGGATAATGTTATCGAGCACCAGGACCATGTTTTAAATGTTAAAAATTAAATGAATATCGTGACATTACGTTTAAGTCAATACTCAATATATTATTTGATGCAATATAAGTGTCACATAGTGCTCGATTCCAATTGTGGTGAATGACATTACTCTTCTAGTCATATAAAAGTAAATGCTTAAGGTAATAATTGAAAAAGAGAGAGACACAATTATGCAATAACAAAAAATTATCCAACATAATTGACCTTAGAGAGATATTTTTCTCATCTTAAAAGTTACAACTCATGAGCACCCTCGTTTGTTTGACAACTATTTTTGCCCTTTCATTATTTTTCAATATTTTAGTGGGGATAGTGCTTAGTTTTCCCAATTAAAATGAATTAAATTAATTTCCCAAATGGAGCTCGCCACCGCCTCTAAAGTTAGTACCTTTTATTTCGTTAATAATAAAATTAACCGTGGGTTGTTTTATTTGAAAGTTAAATAAAAAGAAATTTTATTTTCATATATACGATTGAAATTTTAGCATTACGCATTTCTTAAATTTTTCATCTAAAATGCAAGACCCCTCCTATTCGTGAGGTTCCCGAAGGTGGTCAACCTCCTTGTTACATGAGCAGAACCCTATAATTAAAACAATATGGTTGTATAATTATAGATTTAAAAATACAAGCTCTTCCAAACTAAACATTATTATTTTTCCAAAATGAAAATATACACAAGCACTATATCTTACAAATAAAATTCTAATAATTTTTTTTTTTTTTTCATATTCTAAGTAAAAAAATACCGAGTTCAGGCCCTCCGCTGCCATCCGGGTTCAACATATAGAAAGCTTCCGAGTCATGGCCCCCTATAACTCGCTCAAACCTGGCTCTCATGTACAGCAACTCCCCTTCAGATGCACCATTCTTCCGGCCGACATTCACCAACGGAATCACTCCAGCACCGACGGAGACGGTCTGAACGGTGCTCAGCACGTGCCAGTCGGAATCTGTGCATGCGCGTGAAAGAGGGGAGCCGCATGTCCTACCGTTACAGTACATAGTCCACATTGGCTCATTGAACAGCCTCACCGGAGGCCGGCCGTCTTCAGACAGCGGCGGGCATTTCTCGCACTCCAGCGCAATCCTTACTAGCCCAGAAGACATCTCTTTCACCAGGCTTGATGTAGAAACTGCAAGTTCAATGAGTAAAATTGGTTCCGATCTCGGGTATTCTTGAACGGAAAAGGTGACATGACCTCTCCGGTTCCCAAATAGGGTTCCGGTGACTTTCCGTCCGAGCGAGGGTGTTATCGACAATTGGGTTGAAATATGAAGCAATCTGCAACTAAGAAGAATCGTGGGGAATGAGCTAATATGAAGGAGTGATCGAAGAAGTCCCGAGAATCCAGTGCGGGCTCTGTGGCAGGCGGCTACATGTGTGTCCATTTAGTTTAGGCTAATGCAAAATTTTTCTGACTCGAATTTCCAATTGTCAAAGAAAAACAAACGCGTTTACCTACAATAGTATCACCAAGAAAAAAAAAGATTATTAGTTCACTATAAGAAAGCAAGAATATTGCTCATGTGTTTTCTACTTAAATCTTCTTTATCCCTTCATTCTATTCCACTCAAACAAAAAGTTATAGATATTTCTGTATGAGAGAGAGAGAGAGAGAGAGAGAGAGAGAGAGAGAGAGAGAGAGAGAGAGATTATTGGAATTAATATGATCGCGGGAAGATCCTGGTTTCAACACATAATGAGAGAAAAAGTTCTATCATTTTATTTGTGCGAGAGAGAGAGAGAGAGAGATTCTTGGAATTAACATGATCGAGGGAAGATGCTGGTTTCAACACATAATGAGAGAACAAGTTCTATCGTTTTAATTGTGTGTGAGTGTGTGTGTGTGTGACAGAGAGAGGGAGAGTGAGTGAGTGAGTGATGAAGAAAATGAAGAGGCGAGAGAGAGAGAGAGAGAGAGAGAGAGAGAGAGAGAGAGAGAGAGAGTGAGTGATGAAGAAAATGAAGAGGCCGACAAGGTGGTGATAATGTTGGGGGTGATCAATATAAAGGAAAACTATGGAGGTTTATGGTATCATTTCAATACACTTGTATGTAGACTGAGGATTAAAATCAAGATTTTAATTTAAATTTAAATTAATAAATACATTTAATCATATGTTTCATGGAAAATGCCCTGTGTTTTTGTACAGAGGTCTTACCGATCCCTCACTGTAGGGGCAGCTCCACATGAAATAAAAAATAAATAATAAATTACGCCAAGCTCGCGCATGTGTGTTGTCTAGCAGGGTCTGTAAATACTTGAGCACCGTCCATGTTTCATATGATCTATAATTTTTGGATCATATATTTCATATTATAATAGATTAAGATATTTGTACAAACTTTGGTTGAGAAAAACTTCAACTCACTCTCACATGCATACGGTCCCTACATGGATTAAATAATCCCGACATGTAGACCCCACCTTCCCATTGTGAGTGTAAGTAAAAGATTTTGTACAAAAGTGTTAGTACATGTTACATCTTCCTATTATAATATAGGGAAATAATAAATGTACAGCACTAAGTAGTGGGGCCTCCTCTTGTGAGGGGACTGTAAGACTTGCTAGTGTGGTGTACAGCAAGCATCTCCCTATATATGATGAGAGAGTCTTAGCTTGGAATCATTTTGTTATCAGACCTACAATGTCAGAAAATGGATGATTAACCCTCTGACAGAATACTCATATTAGGGGGAGGGGCGACATTTTTTTTGAAAATTTTTTATGCAATCGAATCCCAAGACAATGTGTCTTTGTCAGCCCTTGTGTTATATTTCTTTTGACAATTCAGCTTTATTCTTTTGTTAGATATATTCCTGCAAAGCCACTTTATTGAGCTTAATGGGTTTGGGGGGCCATCTTAACAAGAGTGATTAAAATAAAAATGAAAAGTGAAAAAATTCGAGGTTTATTTTTGTTTTATGTATTTTAGGAAATATAAATTAAGTCCCACGTAATTTCCAAATCCAAACAATTAATACGTGATTTGATTAACATAATATTTGGGAAGAAGTCTTTAACCTGCATGATTGAAAAATATAGAATTAACTTTTTTGTGTACAATAATTTACATCATAGTTAAATCTTTTAAATTTTCTAGATTATGTAATTTTACGTTAAAATATATATATATATATATATATATTATATTTGTCGGCAAATGTGAGCCATTTTCAAGATAATTGATGGCTGGTTTACATGAACTTCGCTTTTGTTCAAATCAAGTGGACAAAAAATGCCCCTTTTCTCATACTGAAAACCCAAAAAGATCAAAAAAGCTAAAATCAATCAATCATTCAACTGCTCTTAGTTATTTTCATTTTCAGGTATGATAATTGGACGAGTCCGGACAGTCACTCTTATTTTCCGTCCTGTCAATTATTTTGTCACATTCCCTTGCCTTCAAACTCGAATGAGACGGGGAGGAATAGGCTCGGGACAAATCAAGGCGTGGCTGGACAGATCCATTGCCTCTTTTTAAAAAAATTTTCATATCTTTATTTGGTAAAAATCATTACTTTATTTTTTAATTTGTTAAGAAGAACTCATATTCCCGTAAAGAAACAAATAAAATAAAAACTTAAATTTAATATGAACTTTAAACGGGTTAATTTCACAAACGGTCACTGAACTTTCAGAAAAATTACAAAACGGTCACTGAAATTTAAAAATTTTCAGTAACGGTCAATTAAGTATTGGGACGCTTTCAAAAATGGTCATTGAAATTTAAAAATTTTTGAGCTACTTTTGTGGCAACTTTTCGACTACTTCCGACCACCGATACGGATTTTGATATCATTGGAAAGTGTACAATGTCCTCTTCAATTACAACAAAAAATCTCCCCCAAATTTCAAAGGATTCTGCCGGAATAAACCTACAAAGTTGGCTACCCGAAAAGGCAAAAATTTGCCCAAATTTTCAGATTTTTGGTGGACTTTTGCGGCGATTTTTTGACAACTTCCGACCACCAAAATAACCAAATTTTGATACCGTTGGAAAGCTCACAATGTCTTCTTTAATTAGCATCCAAAATCTCTCCAAACCTCCAAAGGATTCGGCCGGAATAAACTCACAAAGTTGGCATCCCAGATTTTTGCCTTTTTGGGATGTCAACTTTGCGGGTGTATTCCGATCGAATCCTTTGGAGTTTTGGGGAGATTTTGGATGCTAATTGAAGAGGACATTGTGGGCTTTCCAACGATATTAAAATTTGGCTATTTTGGTGGTCGGAAGTTGTCAAAAAATGGCCACAATAATCCACCAAAAATCTGAAAATCTAGGCAGATTTTCAGATTTTTTGGGGCGAATTTTGAGCTGATTTTCCAGTTGAATTCCTTGGTGTTATGGAGAGATTTTTAGTGATAATTGAAGAGGACGTTGTGGGCTTTCCAACGGTATCAAAATTCGATGGTATCGGTGGTTGGAAGTAGCCGAAAAATTGCCGCAAATGTAACAAAAAAAACTAAAAAAATGTTTTTCAATTTCAGTGATCGTTTTAGAAACTTTTTAAACTTCAGCGACCATTTTTTAAAGCGTCACAATACTTAAATGACCGTTACTAAAAGTTTTAAACTTTAGTGACCATTTTGTAATTTTTCTGTAAGTTCAATGACCGTTTGTGAAATTAACCCACATTAAACAGGACGGATAACGCGACAAGGACCATGTTCTTGGTACCCCCACTGTTCCCCAGGTATCAAGTTTAATTTATTATTTATTTAGTCCCCTAGGCATAATTCAGTTGTGTAAAGGAAAGGAGTAAGGTAGTCTCAGCCTTGCTGACAGCCGTAATGTAAGAGTTCGGTACCCCCACTGTTCCCCAGGTATCAAGTTTAATTTATTATTTATTTAGCCCCCCAGGCATAATTCAGTTGTGTAAAGGAAAGGAGTAAGGTAGTCTCAGCCTTGCTGACAGCCGTAATGTAAGAGTTCGATTCCTGAGGTATGAAATTGAACTCTTTGTGAATATCAGTGTACGGGCAAGCTCCTGTTCCTTGACTTGTTGAGGCACATCCCGAGATTTACCTCCCTCACAATGCTCCAGGGGCGGGATGGTGGGAGGCCCTCAATGTTGGAGTTCAACCTTTTTTTTTTTAATTTATTATTTATTTAGTAACATAAGTGATGTGCCAAAGATTGCAATACACCTAACCTTTTAATAGAATGATTAAAAAAAGTACATGGGAAAAAAATAAAAACTAATGTCAGCAGTATAATAAAATAATAAAGAGACATTATCGTAAATCCTTCACATTTCTGATAATATCAAAGATACCCTTTTCATGTTTCAAAAATAAGACCAATTTCCCATATTTGACTATTTGAGGATTACATACCATTTTTGAAAAACTACATATCATCTAAAATAAGGTTGATATGTCTAAAATATCCTTGTTGGGGGGGTGCTTTTTCTACAATTAATTAAAATTTTAATTTTTTAATAATTAATTAATATTTAAAGGCTTCTCGATTTTTAATATAAATTCTAGTGAAAATTTAAACATAAATTTTGTTGATGAATTTGTCAATAAATAATTTAAAATTCTCAATTAATTATATATAGCGTTTAATATTCTATATCAGAATGCTATGCTAATGTGATATAATAATCCTTGCAGTATTTAAAAAACAAAATAAGTAATTTTATATGATTAAATTTTAAACAACGTTGAAAGAACAATCTTTATATATGACATGTTCATTTATAATCTTATAGAAATAAAATTGCAACATACAGTAGAAATTTTCGTTTTTTTTCCTATGCAAGGGCAATTTAGGTAAATCAACCTCATTTTAGATTATATATGACTCAAAACAATATTCAAATTTAAAAATCTAGGAGGGTAGTGATATTTTTATATATGTGAGTAGATATTTCTTGTATGGTCTTGATAATGAAAGATATAAAATGAAACTAGCGTGTGGATGAGGATTGATCAAAATAAATTCAGGTCAATGCAAGAAGCCATGGACTAATTTTAAGTTTAGAATGGCAAACCAAAATGCTTATTTCAAGTTTTACCAGTGCGCCAATTTTAATATAATTTGGGTAGGTTCCAACTTCAAAACCATGTATTTTCTTGGACAATGGCCTATCCGATTTGTTGACTAACCTTCAACGGTTAAGATCGATTTGGCTATTGTTGCCGTGTGGACATATTTTATAATATTGTTATTTGTACGTAATGGAATTATATAATGGTTTGTATACAGATGACGTGTCAAAACGAGAGTGAATTTTTTTTCTAATTTAGTTGAAAAAATTCTGATCTAATCATATTGAATCACATGATGTATTAAGTAAAACATTATATAAACTGTTATTTATATATAGCTCAATCGTAATTTTATTACCACCAGTGAATACTGTTGGAGTTTCATGGCCAATTTTTCCTTGTTATGCAGGACATAAATAAAATAAAAAATATTACTATCTTCTTGTTTTAAGTCTTTTAATATTAAGATTGGATATGGTCCAATTCGGTTCAATTCTAACGAGAATCAAACTAAACTCAAAATTTTTAGATCTTTAGTAAGTGGAACTATCGAGTCCAAATTTAATTATGGAATCATTTATGTTCGGTTCCATTCGATTCGATTCCATTTGGTTCCTAGGTTCCGTATTATAATTAAATTTTTTAATATTTACAAAGTTAAATCAATTCAACTAATCATATATTCAATTTTAGCTCTTACAAAATAATGTAATTCAATCTTATGTGTATTTTGTGTCTCTCTGTGCAGAGTTCTTTATAAATATGATTGTTAAAATCACAGGAAGAGGAAGATAGCGAGTTCAAAATAATTAAGACGGGCGTTATCTTGTTTCAATTCGATTTTTTCAGAATTGTAGAAACAGCACTACGGTAAAGCTACATATTTGAATAAAACTTAGATCAATTTGATTATGTTGACTTTGAATTGAAATTTAGAAATATGAAAATCTTATTTTTTTTATTTGTACTAAATTAACTAGTTAACAAATTTATTTAAAAAAATACAATAATTTTGCTTACTTAAAATAAATAAATTAAAAAAATTAGGGAGATTCGATTCTTATTCGATTCTTGATTTAAAACCAAAAACCAAACCGAATCGATCGGTTTTCGTTTTAGATACCCATTCAAATATTTAATTTAAGAATAATGGCTTGTTAGATTCAGGAGTTTTCCAGCCCTGCTTGATATGCTATTTCAGTTATGATTACTAACCACAAAATTTAGGGTAGTTGCTTGTCTGAGCTCCATTTTAAGGGAAAGAATGCATTTTTAAATAACGACTAATGGAGGATGTGGTTAAAAATTAAAGAAAAGTTTTGGATTTGCACATAATATTATTTTATTGAATAATGTGCGATTGAAAATGAGTACAAAATGTTGTAATTTGTTAATATTATGTTTGAATTCTTATTTAATATTTTCAGCGCGAAAATATTCCATTTCAACAGGTGCAAATTGTTACTGTTCTAATATTAAAATCAAAAAAGTTTTCGTCATTTGCGCGAATGACCATGTCACATTTATCACCTAAAATTGTAAATATTTTCACAGTATTTTTGTCTTTGTAGATGTGAACAAAATACACATCTTTATCACCTAAAATTGTAAATTATTGATTAAAATACTAAATAATTTATGTTTAAACTATATAATTATATGGAAATGCGAAAGAGATTAAGAAAAAAAAGAAGAAGAAGAAGTTATATATAAACTTGACTTTCATCACTCCTTCAACACATGAAAATGTATAAATATTGTAATTTGACATTGTTTCTTAATTCAAAATAAATTGATAGCTTGAACTATTGAATACAACATTTCGATTAAATAATTTTTCCAAGAGTATTGAAACGCAACTACAACATTTAATTTCCAAGTTGATGCATGAGAAATTAATTATCCATCTTAAATTTTGTAGAGCTCTGATACCACTTCGTAGAATTTAAGACTTAAAGAAAGATATTATTTTATTTATGGAATAGATTTTACACATTTTTGGACATACTTTGATTATATGAAGATGCTCCTCACTAACACACTACACTAGCTCAATATGTCTCTCTTTCCCTCTTATTCTATTTGCTCTCACTCTCTTGACACACTTTTTCTCTCATCATGCACACGCACATTCAACCAACACACATCTAGATAGGCAAAATATGGAGGTGGAGTTTACTACCTACATTTTTTTAGAGAATTCTTCCATTGGCTTCATAATTCTGCTCTCTAGATTATTAATGAATGGTGGTGGTCTTCATTTCTGGCAAGTATTGAGTCTCTAGAATATTCTACATGTTTAAGTCTAGCAAATTCTAGATATTTAAAATGGGTGATGATTTCTTCAATTCTCCCCTTCAGTACTTTTCATTTTAACCTTTTTGTTCTTCGTCTCGTCTAGTCATGTCTCAAACTCGATGACATTTGAAGCGTTTGATCCTTTATTCAATGATCCATAACTTCAAATATGTCTAGCTTTTTCACACTCTCGTCTTCTTCGAAGGTTGCATACTTGCTACTTGCTTTCTCGCCTCCACCAGATTTTCTTATTTGTGGTTGTAAAATCATACGTAACTCAATTTCTTGTTGACCCTCTCGATCTTCCATACTCTGTGTTGGTCTAAGAAACTCTTCTTTATTACTTATCATTCATAAATCTTGAGTTTCTCTAGGGCGTCGTTGCGTTTCCGTGATTTTCTCTTGCAATTTGTCTTCTATTTCCTTTAAATCTAGTAGATCCACCCTCTTCGGTGTCTACTCCAGTATCTGCGGTTTCTGATCTAACAGATCCACTCTCTGCGGTGTCTGCGTTTCTTTGAACACTTCTTCTAATTCTAATAGTCCCTCCCTTTGCGGAGTCTACCCTAAAGACTCTTCATGAAACACGATGTCCTCTTCTGAGTCATTGATTCAATCATCTTTGCAATCTAAATGTTCAGGCAGGACCACCACTAACACTGATTCATCCTTTAAATTTGAATTAAATTTCTTTTCTCGAGCCTGCTCAATTGCTGCTGTAGTTGCCTCAGCATCCCATTCTTCTTCACTAGTGTATTTATCTTCCCTGCTAGAGGTTACTACATTGCTTTCTACTGGCCCCTTTTAAACCAATAGTCTCTAGCATAATGGCTTCGTTTGCCACATACGAAACACGAGTCATCATTTCGTTGAAATCTCTTGAATGGCTGACCTCTCATGTCACGACTTTGTTGAACTCCCCTTGTCTGGTAACTTCCTTCAATCCTTCCTTCAAATTTACCTTCTTTTAATTCTTTATAATTTTGCTAATAAAATTGACCTCTTCTTTTGTAACTAAATAATGCTTCTTCATCCTCTTTCTTAATTGAGATTCCTAAAATTTGTCTGTTAATGCTTCTTGGTCAGCGAACAAATTTTCAAAACTAACTAATGAAGGTTGCTCGGGCCAACCTTGTATTGCAGCGATAAAACTTCTAAATTCGAGTCTCAATCCATATACAATTATTCTTCTCATTCGAGAATTCAAAATTTTACTTAAAGCATCTAACTCTAAAATTTCACGACGGAGAGATTTAACTTAATTAAAATATTGACTTACGGTTAATTCTCCTTAAGTGATTGAGAGAAGTTCGTTCTCCAGCAATTGCAATTTCAGATCATTTTTCTTCGAGAATAGTGAGGCTAAAGTGTCTCATGCTTCCTTTGGTGTAATCTTGTCTTTTATGTGCTCCAACAATTCTTCTTCGATTGTTGTCTTTGTAACAAACAAGGTCAAATTGCGTGTTCTTTATGCTGTCGGAAAGATTATTGAAGAGATTTCTAAATACAACAACTACTACTGGGAGGAGGGTGATCGAAATTCAGCATATAGAAAGAATGAGCATGCATACCTTAAAAAAGTTACGATTTAATGTTTTGATTTTCTCTTAAATAAAAATTAAACTAAAAATGCCGAAAATTTCCAAATATATATGTTCTACATCATGAAATTCAAGTACCCTGAAATATAGAAGTATATATATGGACTATTACACGGCATACCATTCATTGAGAATGTCTAAAGTTTCAACATATTTTATCAGTACGTCAATTCTTGGAATTCTTAAACCTCACTCACTTTCAAACATGACGGACGGAGAAGCCACAATGCTAAGCTCGATTTCTCCCGTCGGCCCATTATGATTATTTGTAGCTTCTTCTTCGTGGCTCTTCTCTGCATTCAAGTGGGTCCTTCTCGGCCAATACCTTCGAAACAGCTTATGGAGGCCTATTACTATTAGTATTAAGCCGGTCGCAATAGTGATTTTAATTGAGAGAGAGATCATACTAATAGTAATAGATCTCCATAAGCTATTTCGAAGGTATTGGTCGAGAAGGACCCACTTGAATGCAGAGAAGAGCCACGAAGAAGAAGCTACAAATAATCATAATGGGCCGACAGGAGAAATCGAGCTTAGCATTGTGGCTTCTCCGTCCGCCATGCTTGAAAGTGAGTGAGGTTTGAGAATTTCAAGAATTGATGTACCGATAAAATATGTTGAAGCTTTAGACATTCTCAATGAATGGCATGCCGTGTAATAGTCCATATATATACTTCTATATTTCAGCGTATTTGAATTTCATGATGTAGAACATATATATTTGGAAATTTTCGGCATTTTTAGTTTAATTTTTATTTAAGAGAAAATCGAAACATTAAACCGTAACTTTTTTAAGGTATGTATGCTCATTCTTTCTATATGCTGAATTTCGATTCCCTTCCCCCCCCCCCCCACCACCCAGTAGTAGTTGTTTTCAGAAATCCCTTTCAATAATCTTTCCGACGGCATAAACAAAAAATGTGCATTTTTTGTAAAGATCCGAGCCTCGTAACTGACCGTTCTTTTACGTACTGTCTGCTCTGAAAGAATATAAACTTGTAAAGATCCGAGCCTCGTAACTGACCGTTCTTTTACGTACTGTCTGCTCTGAAAGAATATAAACCCATTTTAACCATTTCTATAGTGCCTACCAAGATTTGAGTACAAGATCTCTACTTTATGAGAGATCCAAGTTATGAGAGATTCGTGTGACTATTTTCAATGAATAAGATCCATTCGTGTGAATTCGCATGTCATGTTAAGCGTATAATTTTTTGAATTCAAGCTCAGGTTCAAAAATGATGCATTTGTGACCCATTTGTAACACACTGAAATGATGCTTTATTTAGGAAGTCATATGTGACTTTGTTGTTTTATGTGAACATACATCTTTATCCAACTGCACTACAATAATGTCAATCTGATTACAATTTAATGGGACTCATTTGTGATCAGTTAGTAAGTTATGATTGCAATTGATAATATTTATGTGACCAGTTTAATGCTACTTTTGTGATTTTGCGGGATGATTTTAGTAAAAATTAAAACATTTGAGATATGTTGAAGAAAGTGGACTCGAATCCAAAGATAATGTAATTAAGAAAGATAATAATGTTAAACACCTTATTTTATTTTTTAACAGCTTAAACACCTTAATAATAGGGGTAAAACTCAAATAGAAAATTTTTCTAAATTTTTTTTTATTTTTTTATTATTTTTTTTAAATCTTGCTTAAACATGACCTGATTTTTTAACAAAAATTCTCCTCGTAACAGGCCTGGCGTGCCTCATATCGCTGTGGCCCATTTCAAGGTGGACCAAGATGGGCTTATCGCCTAAATTTATTTGTATTTATTTTTTCTCATTTAAATTTTATTTCATTTATATATTGATGATTTGTACATGTTGAAGCTCCATTTATGAGCGATTTTGAAAATTGATTTTTGAACCGTTAGGAGAAAAGTAGAGGCCACCTATGAGAGAAGAGGTTCAACTTTACGGCTGGAATACTGAAATAACGATAAAAAAAATCAATTTTTTGAGGTGAAAAATCACTCCTAAATGGCCCTTGAGTCATCTGACACGTAAGAAAATATTAACAAATCAGGCACCACTCACCATTTCTTTGACACCGAATGGAGATTTCAAGAAACGATGGAATTTGACACTTCTAAAAGATTTGGGTTAATCTATTTGGACAAGGTCACGTAGGCACTATCCAATAGGAGCGTGCCAAATTGGCTCCCTAGACGGCAGCAAGGTTCAAAAGATTTCAAACCTACTACAAAGCCCGATATTAAATCCCGAGTTTAAATCCAAGGTCAAGGTGGCAAACACGTCGACCCTTGACCTTGAATTTCATGGGGGCCCGTAACATAACAATCAAGGGTCGCCTGTCAACAGGGCCTGTCATTGGCACAGTTTGAATGGCAAAATCCAAAAGATTTTTAGTGTGCATCAAGCAAAAATATCCTTTCCATTTGAAAAAAATAAATAAAATAAAAGCAAGATAGGAAACATAACGTACCGGGAACTGGCGAATTCATAGAGCTTTCCAGTGCCAGAAAAAATTATAACGCCAACTTGTGCATCACACAAGACGGCCAATTCTTTTGCCTTCTTTAGCAATCCGCCGCGCCGTTTTGAGAACGTCACTTGCCGGCTATTGACGTTCTCAATCTTCTTAATCTCAACTTTTCCTCTACCCATTTTTCAATACTCTGAGATAGAAAGAATGGGGGGATGGTGGTGCTTATGAATACAATAGTTTGATGGGAATTTTTATTTCTTTTGGTCTAATGAATCAAAAGGGCGAATGAATTTGGAGACAAATTATAAATGAAATAAGAATGATAATTGAAATTTCCTGCTGTTTATAATTTATTTGCAGAATGGTATGATATTACTTTTCTTGGGCTCAAAAATCAAAATGAAGGAAAAATGGAAAAGAATGGTGAAGAAATATGAAAAGGTTGTAACAGGTTTACTAAACGAAAGAATACTATTTGACGAAATCTTCCTTCATATGGTAACGCCAATTTTCTTGTGGTCTTGGGGTTTGCCACCTTTGGAAAATTATTATTTTTGCGTTAAAGTCCATAAAATTTGGCCAATTGTAAGGCAAGTGTAATGCCATTCGTCTTGTGATTTGCTTTTACTACTTGTTTGATACACCATATTACATATTATATCAAGGAAGGTTGTAATTATTGCAATAATACTTTCTCATCGATGTACTCAGTATATAGTATTTGTAATAAGTTATTAAAAAAAAAAAAGTAACAAGAAAAGTTGCGTGTAACATAATAATAATAATGCCTTCATGATATATTGGGTACAAGATTTTTAATCTGTATCTTCTTCAATGCTAGCATATAGTCCCCAGTAATATTATATACCAAATGTGTCCGCATAGGTGTTGAGATGTGTATGATACAAAGGGACTTCACCTCTAATATTTTCAGTGTTATCATTTAAGATAAACTCCCCCCCCGCCCCAAAAAAAAAAACAAGAAAAGAAAAGAAAAAAAGAATAGCTTTATAATAATCAATGCACGATAAATATGATGGACTACAATCGACCCAGTTGTGGAGAATTACGTAACTGCTAGCACAAAATGCAAGCCCATGAGCAATGTAATTTCCCGAAGAGGATACAAAAAAAATGGACTACACCAACATCAGATAATAGAGAAACAACATCGAGGAGGATTTCTATTGTTGACCTCAAAAGCCCAAAATTGTTTTTTAATACCGGCAGTGAAGTTCTAATGCCGAATTTTGGCAGGATGTTGCCCTTTTTAGGATTTTTGGGTGTATTTTGAGTGAATTTTTCGTTTGAATGAAGAAAAAATTTTCAGCCATGAAAGGATACTTCAATCGAAGAACATTGAGATTCTGAATAGTGTCGACCTTAATTTTGCCTTGATCTGATTCGAATTTATTTAGAGTGGAAGATTGGATCTCTAAGAATTTTTTTCCTTTAAGCTTTTTAACCCTTTGGGTTTTAACCCATTTTTTCCCTTTCTTTGTTGTTGTAATTGCCCTTTTTTACATGCGTTTTTGGAACTTTTTAATTGTTTTTATTAGTGGAAACACTTATCATTATTCTACAGATCATGATTAAATTCAAGTTCCAATATTTTGGTTGAGTTTCATGCTTTTGTAACACTTATCGAGCAATTTGTTATGTACATGAATGGCTTTGCATGAATGATCACGGTGATTTGATTGTGTCAGAACTCACTTAAAGGTGTTATCTATATATGAGACCTTTGATTACATCATTAGGACAGGGTTCCAATAGTCTTTTAATTCAATTGTTAGAATCCAGCACATCTTTCCTAGATGGTGATTCGATGGTCGAGGTATTTTGTGCTTGGGGTGGCCTTGTCAACCATGTTGCAACTTGCAAATGCTGGTGGACACACATGCAATGGGATCCTTTTGTCTTCATGGACAAGTAATGGGGTCCTTTGGGGCTGATGTGGAGCTCTCGTCAAATTTGTCTCCCAAGTTCGAGTTTCATATTTATGAGGAACGAATAAGTTTTATGTTTTTGCAGCTACTAGTGCTGAAATTTTTTTATTTCATTTAGGTTTACTTCATAGCTTCACCTATTTCTGCATTGTTATGTGACGAAGTGAAATAAATGCTTATACTGATGCTGCGACATTTGTGATATGAAAAATCAATGCAAATAACTGGTATTCCTGCCTTACGAGAATACTTGTGTGTAATACATAGAAGAAATCCAATAGAAATCTAATACATGAACAATGGTGGCCTTTTTGGATTTGAGAAATTAATCCATGATATAACAGCAAGAAATTCAACCTAGATAATCTTTCAATCCAAGGCCATATATACGGGTGATTTTTAGTCAGTGAACTCTGGTATCTAATACTCTTTCAATCCGCAACTCATTATAAAGAAGGGCTCAATTCAGTCTTAAGATGATTTATTTTGTATAGGTAAAAAAGGAATAAGTCCACAAATGACTCTATTACGTGTTTACCATATCGCTAGCATACAATGTCAAGTTTTATAATATAACTGTGAAGTTTGAACACAGAAGGATTGAATATCAAATTTTGTACTAAGTATTATAATTAAATAGTCCTTAGTTATTCAGACAATAGAATTTGAGTATAAATGTTTTCAAACTAAATTTAAAGTGAATATTGTGACGAACTCAATGATTTTATGCAATTTGGAAGAATTAATTAATATGAGAAAACCTAGAGTTATGATTTTATCTAACTATCAATTATTTTTCTCAATAATATAATTATATCTAATTAATTTTTCCAAGTTTTTAAGTAAGAACCTTTCTATTCCATCTCTCGAACGTTGAGTAAAAAACTATTCCTAAAATTCAATTCCAATATCTATATTCCAAATTAAAATCTAAGCATCATCTAGTTTTATGGTTCTTATGTGGAATGGCTTTAGATGAATTATATTCTCTCTCAAAATCTATAATTTTCTAAGTTTTCTTCTTATAAGATAACGTCTAAGGTCCCCTCACTCAGGTGTCTAAACTTAAACAATCAAATCAATCAATTAATGGTCAGTTAATTAAAAGCTTTACATACAAATAACACAAATAAAACTTTAATGGAAAATTGCAAATAAATAATTAATAAAGATCAAACATGTCTCAAGTGTTGATTACATCAAACCCCTAAATAACAAAGTTTAGTTCATGATGGATGAAAGAGAAACTACCAAATTCATAATAATAATAAAAACATAGAGAGAAGAACATGATATAACTGTTTTGGAGTTGAATCGATTTTCTTTGCATTATTGCATTTAATATCTTTTTTGATATCTTGATTTCCCTAGTTGAATTCTCCCTAAAAAGTAGCCTCTAGGGTGGTAATTCTCCTTCTTGAAGTCTTCCTGTAGTCCTTCCACAAGTTTTAGTATTGAACTTGTGGAAAATTACTCGAAGAAGGATAATCACTTTCTCAAACCTTTGCCCTTTTTTTTTAGACTCTACTTTAGCCTTCAATTTTATACTACTTGTTATGCCCCTATCTGAATAGCCTCGGAATGCCCGCCACCACACATTCCGACCTGATAGACACTCATTTAAAGTGTTTCCGAAGTGATTCCACCAATGTCAACGACCTAATAGCACACTGAGAGATAGAGATGATCCTGTTGAACTGATCGAAGCGCCCTCGCCCCTGAGGCCGAGGCGAAGTGCACCTTTGTCAGAAGATCCGCTGCCAATTTCAGAAAGAGATTTTTACCAAGATCCTCCGTGCATCTAAGGTTTAAATTGATTTGACGTCTCCATGAGGCTAGTTGATGTGATTTATCAAGTTTATGTCAACTCAACTCGGGAGAAACAAACTACCCGCCCACTCTACAGACGCGGCTGATTGACGCCTATGAGCCGACGCCTCATGCCGTTAAATGCATACGCGTGTCCCACATCCAACGATTTATCCCACCTATAAATACCCAAGGTTTGGCAAGAGGCAAAGGTAATGAAACTCTTACTACGTAGCACTCCATAGCAAGTTTATATATTTTCTCCTCCCCCTTATTATTATTTTGCACAACACTTGGGTACTGTTCCGACCACATAAACCTAACTTGATCGTCAGAGTGTATACGGCCACCACCACCCCCCGCTGGTCCTGGCCGTGTGCGTCCAACCGTGCGTTGATTGTGCACAAGGAGGAATACGTGGAGTAGCTATCGGTTGGCTACGTGGAAGGTCCAATTTTCGAGGTCAACAGATTGGCGCCATCTGTGGGAAACACTTCCCATTAAAAGTTCTGCATTCTCCACCGGAGAAATTACCAGAAAACTTACGACTAACCCTGAAAAGGGCAAGTTCTTGAAAAAGAACAAAGTTGAGTTATAATCCAACTTCTCACCACCCTTGAAAAAGGAGATAGGATGAGCTATAGCCATGAAGACGACAACCCCATGAGAGAGGCCTCTGAAGAAGAGGTACTCCATAACAATGTCACTCACCAGAGACCCTATCACCGGTGTCGCCGAGGCGCAAGAACGGCCATGCTCACTGAAGGTATGGCTCAAATAGCGGCAGGCATGAGGGACATCGCAACTCAGAATTTGGCGATACGTGAACTTCTCATGCAAGCCCAGGGTCATCAAGGCTATCAAATGCCCCAAGGATCTTATCCAGTGCAGGAAGCCCCCGTATCTCGCTCTTGAGGCCATATGAGCCGGCACACAGAACGCCCCCTCGAAAGAAAGATGGACGCCAAATCCACATTTTATGTGCAAGAGAACTAGCCATCAGAACCACAGTTGGGGGACAATTTCCCTCAAGAACATGAGGAACAGAAGTCGGTAAGCGTCTTTGACCGGATAGGGGAGGGTCCTAGCAATGGGTTCGTCCAGTAAGAGGATCAGTTCGTCCAGATCACGAACAAGAACAGGCTCCCCCTCCTCCTAGAAATAGGAGAGACAGAAAGAACCTAGTAGATTGGGGGAGTCGAGGAGAAGCACCTCCACCTCTCCACAACATTCAAGATGATAAAGGGTCAGATGGGCCCTGTCGATCTTATGAGATTGACGACGATGATGATAACCTCCCTTTCTCAAGGGAGATCCGAAGCTTTCCAATGTCAGCAAATTTCATGCCCCCTAAGATCCCCAAGTATGAAGGAAAGAGGGACCCGGAGAAGCACCTCACCAAGTACATGACACAGAATAGC